AATGCTAGCTGCAGAGGGAAAGCCAGAATGTCCCACCGGAAGTTTGGTCCAACATGTTTATTCTACATTCTCCCAGCTCATGACCAACATGACAGAGAGAGATTTCAGTTATCAGATCTGCCCTTCCCCTTAGAAAAAAAATCAAATAGAGAAGGAACCTGGGGTGTGTCTTCTAAGGCCCAGCTTGTCACCAGACTTGTGTCTGCTTCCCTCCAGAGTCCAGGTTGTCTGGCCAAGCTACCCTCCAAGGACTAGAGCCCCAGCTCCCACGACTGACCTACTCTTAGCCCCAGCCTTGCTCTCCATTCCCAGATGTGCCCTGAGTTCTTTTTCTGTTTGATTTTTCCATGGGAAAGATCTAATAACTGACCTCACCTACCTTCTCCTTCAGGTTGGTCAGGGCCTGAGAGAATCTGGGTTAGACACGCAGGACCCAGCTTCCTGTCCTGGGGAATGCTCCACCATTGTCAGCCTCCCCACTCATCCCTTTCTTCCCAGTAACTCTGCTCTGTCTTGTCTCCCTCTCGTGTTGTCTCCTGGCACTTATGTCTGCGTCCTTTTCATCTCTGTTCTCTGGTTCTGCTGTCACATTCTAGTCCAGCCTTTGCTTATCTTTCCCAGATATCAGAAATGAACTCTATAACCTCTTACCCCACCTCAGGCTCCTAATCATGAATTAATACGGGGGCTTCTTCCATGACCTTGTTCTCTCCTTTCCCAGTACAGACTCCCCCTCCCCCCGGCCCCTCAGGCCGGGGGTGACCTTGCCCCCGGGGACCCTCACCATGAATACCAAGGACACCACTGAGGTTGCTGGTGAGTTCTCAGAACAGGTTCCCAGTTTGGGCACAGTCTTATATGTTCTCCTGCCATTCTTTGCTCTGGCCTCTCTAGTCCTGGTTGCAATCTTCCCTAGTGCTCTGGGTTATATTTGGCCCCTTTCCTCCAGACTGCCTCTAACAGAGCCCTCCCTTCTGGTTCCCCCTAGAGAACAGCCACCACCTGAAGATCTTCCTCCCCAAGAAACTGCTGGAGTGTCTTCCTCGATGTGCCCTGCTGCCTCCAGAGCGGCTCCGGTGGAATACAAATGAGGTTTACCTAGGGAGCAAGGGGTTAGGGCCTGGCAAGACCTAGTGGGCTGGAGAACCTGCCTGTGTCTGTGGACACTCACTACTAAGCACTGTTCTAGGCTTTGGAGATGATAGAACTGCAGATTTGGACCTATAGGAGTCCGTTTTTCTTTGGTATAAAAACAACAGCTTAGTATTTCTTCATAGTGACCATCATGCCGTGCATCTGACCTGTACTATCTCCTATCATTATAGATGTTAATGAAGAGAAAAGTGATTTGGTTTGTTTTTGTGTGTTAAATGGTGGGTTTTGGACAGGGTATCATGTAGTCCAAGCTAGCCTGGAACTTGCTATGTAGTCAAGATTGGGTTTGAGCTCATTTTTTTTAAAACTATTCTGACCCTCCCTGCATTCCTTGCTTCCTTGCTTTCTTGCTTCCTCCCTTCC